ATGGTTTCCTACAAGATGAGGGGAAAGGATAAGCTATTTGGACACACTGGAGGACTGCATACACCCATCAACTAGGAAGGCAGGGGTGGGTGGGGGGCTTGCTGTGAGTGTGATAAGTCAGGCAGGGGTGGGCTTGGAGAGCTCTGAGGAGGTTTCTGGTGTCCCTACCTCCTGAGCCATTGCCTGACCTCGGTTTTCCCAGCCTCCTCCAGGTCAGCAGGCACTGACTTTGGGCACCTGAGGCTGACCCCGCCGACTTGCACTTCGTCCATCATGTTCAGATGACCTCTCTTTCTGCATCTGCACAGCCTGGCAGAGGGCCCAGGACCACTGGCAGGGGCAGGCGGTGAAGGACAAGGTTTGGGACACAGTTCTGCTGATCCTCAGGGCCTCTGGGATTTCTTGGCAGGTGAAGCCCTCCTTCTTCTCCTTCCAACCAGCTGTGGAGCAGATGCCATGGAGGCTCCACAGTCATAATTTCTTCCAAGGCCACTGGCACAGCTGCACCTACATCTAGCTTGAGGGGCTCCAGGTCTGGGCTCCTTCAGCAGAAACAAGGTGCTGTATTTGTGACAGTGGAAGGCTTTCTTGTCATCATTGTTGCTGATTACTTGTCCATTCCAAAATGAAAAGGATTATTTATTTAATCATTCATTTACCTGCCATGCTGGAGTCTGAACCCAGGGCTCCCTTACATTCAGAGCAGCCCTGTATTGCTAAGATACATCCTCAGCAATTTTACTTTAAATGTTTTGCAATTCAAAATTTAGAGTTCCAAGAAACTAAAAATAAAGTTTGAAGAAAGTAAAACTTACTCCTAAATCCCACCAACTGGAAAGAGTCACTTTTAACAGTTGGGTGAGCAGACTTCCAGACAGTGCTGGGCATGAGTGTGGGGACTTATGGTGATGGAATTGCATACTGTTTCATAACATGCTCTTTTTACTCAACAGTATGTCGCAGGGATCTTTCCCACCTCAGTGAAGGCAGCCCCACCCTTTACATAACGGCTGTTGACTGTCCGCCACAAATGGAAGTTCCAAGGATGAATTGAGATGGTTCCAGAATTTTGCTGTTCCTAAAATTATATGGGGAACATTATACCATCATGTCATGGATCCAGCGACTATTTTAAGTATATTTTAGCAGGTTGGCCATTTATTTATTTAATTTTATCCTATTCATTTATTATTTATTTGTGTGTGTGTGTGTGTGTGTGTGTGTGTGTGTGTATGTGTACATATGCATGAGTACAGGTGTCCACAGAGGCCAGAGACACTGGACTCCTCTGGATCTGGAGTTACAGGGAGTTGTGAGTCACTGGACATAGGTGCCGGTCACATGAACTCTGGTCCTTTGCAAGAGTAGAGAGTGCTCTTAACTGCTGAGCTATCTTTCCAGTCCATAGTTCCAAGGCTTTAATAGGAAAATCTTACCAATGATTCTATTGCATAAGATTCCTAGGTCACCCCTTGAAGATGGTGAAGAGTTCTGGGTTAATAGACACCAGGCTGGTTGCAGAAATGTCTTTCTGAGCCACCATTAGAGGTGACAATCCCATTGAAGGCATTTGTCAAGTATCTTATGTTTCTCCTTCTCCTTGGGGCCAGGAAGTCCTCCTCACTGAAGAACTGTACCGACTTTGAGGACCCACCTGAGCCGGGCTGTAGGGTAAAGAGGTTTGGAGCTCTGTGCCCCATTTCTTACCCTAGTTGTTTGCTCACAGTACCCCGTTTTTCTTCTTCCTAGTGGGGAGGACTCTGCCCCACAGAACCAGCATAAGTCAATGCACATGTCACTGGCATTGGCCGACTTGTGGCCTGGGAGCCACCAATGCAGTTTTCTCTCTAGCACAGCACCGGACTCCATCCTTCTCAGGCAGTAAAGCACTCCAACAAGTTTCTACGAGCTAGAGGGGCTGGCGGGGGAGGAGACAAAACTTCAGGGTTCTTCTAAGACAAATGTGAAGCCCTGGGTCAAGGTCAAGGTCAAGGTTAAGGAAATACCTAGAAAAGGGCTTGCAACAACCGGACAATTGGAGACCCCCTGAATTTAGTGCATTGAGATTCTTTTTGTTTGAACACCAGACAACTCCTGGGATGTCACCATCACTAAGGTGACTTTCTGCTCTGTCTCTGAACTCTACCATTTCTAGCATTGTGAGTGAGCCACGCCCCAGAGGCCTGGTTCATCCCCACAGATGGGAAAGCAGAGCACAGAGAGGAGAGGCAACTGCCTCTGAGTCACAGCCTGCTCAAGGCCGTGAGACCCGCCCAGCCCTCTCCCCAGCCTTGCCATGTGTAGCAGTGATGAGGAGACCCGAAGTGGCTGTTAGAGCAGGTCAGCCCTTGCCCTGGACGCTGCCATCTTCTCGCTCTGCCCTCCTGGCGTGGTCCTTCCCCTGTCCCCTTGCACTTCAGCGTCAGGGTGGTTCATTTTCAAGCCATCACACCTGCTTTCTGGCCAGGAAGAGGTGGAGGGTTTCCCCCAAATCTTTTCTGGGGTATGTGTGCCCAAACCCAACTGCTACATCTCCAGTGCAACTCCTACACCTGAGGCTCAGGGAAAATCACAGAAGAGGGGGTGGGAAGATGGTAAGAGCCAAAAGACCAGATGTCTTCGGTGAGACAGCATCTTCTATATACGACAGGGAAGAGGCAACTACGGACTTTCAACAATATGGTTGCCAAAGAGGGCCAGCGTCATAGCATCAGCTGACTGCCAACCCGGAAGAGGAAATTCCATCCCCTAGATGAAGAGCCATAGGTGACCAATGAGAGAGAATCAGTCTCCTTCAAGAATGATCTCCCACAGAGGTTGTCTAATCTCAAGTAGTCAGCTCAGGACACATGCAGATATGAACACCAATGAATATACTCAGATTATATACATGTGTGCAAATATAAGTATATATGTCTAACAAAGAGGAGAGCATGAATTTGGGGGGCAGAAGGAGAGTTGGAGGCAGGAGGGGGGAGGAGTGATGATATAGATCCAGTGCTCATGTATGATGGTCTCTCCCAGAAAATAAAATTATTAAATGACAACAAAAACTTTCATTTATTTACTTATTTATTTAATGTATACGAGTCCTCTATCTGCATGTATGACTTTATGCCAGAAGGGGACATCAGATTCCATTATAGATGGTTGTAAGCCACCATGTGGTTGCTGGGAATTGAACTCAGGACCTCTAGAGGAGCAGTCAATGCTCTCAACCTCTGAGCCATCTCTCCAGACCCTAACAAAAACTTTTCTGGAGCAAACACCCTTGTGACCTCTGCTTAGTTTTCGCTGGCTTGAACTCAGCTGTCTGGTCAGCACTAGTGTGCCTGGCTGAGACTGAGAACAGAGCCTAGAGCCTAGAGCAGTGGTTCTCAACCTTCCTAACGCCATGACCCTTTGATACAGTTCTTCATGTTGTAATGCCATGACCCTTCGATACAGTTCTTCATGTTGTGCTGATTCCCAACCATAAGATTGCTTCCATTGCTGTTATGAATAGTAATGTAAACACTCCTGAAGATAGAGGTTTGGCAAAGGGATCTTGGCCCACAGGTTGAGAAACACTGACCTAGAGCCTTTGACTCCATGCCTCAATGGTGGGCGCAGCAGAGAACATCAGTTTTGAGCTGCAGGTTTCTGGAGGCTTCAAGAGCTAAGGAGAATGAGGGTTACTCTGAGCACACACACACCTTGGGGTTCTCTCATCTTCCTAAGGTTGGAGGGTTGAGTCAGTGGCTGGCTGGAAGGGATGGCTGTATCTGTCGCTTGCAGCTGGTTTGTTGCAGTCCACAGCAAGGAGACGGCATCTTCAGCACACCTCCCTCCCCCACAGGGTGCTGCAGAACCCCAGTCTTTCCCCAGGTTAGAGCTGATGAGTTCATTACTCATCCTCCTGACCTAGGTCCTGGTAGGGCAGGCATCTGCTAAATGGACTCACTGAATGTAAACCCACATTTCCTCTAATCAGGGTCTTCAGAGTGAGGAAGCCTGATCCACAGCATTAGCTTCAGCTGTGCCAGAAACGCAAACTCTCTCTCAGTCCCTGCCCCAGACCTGAGGAACATAAGCCTTGGGGTGCAGGAGCTTGTTTTGATAAGGTCTCTAGGTTATGCTCCAGAGTGTAGGAGCCCCGAAGTACAGTGACTCTCAGCCTGGGAAAGAAATGAGGGAGACTACCCAGCCCTCTGTCCTTCTGTTCGGGCTGTAAAGACTGACTTTTCCGATCTTGTTTGTTTTGAGACAGAAGCTGGCTATATACCCTTTGCTGGCCTCAAGCTTTCAGATTTTCTGGCTTTGTCTTCCAAGTACAGAGTAGGACTATATGTATGTGCTACCACACCCAGCTAAAGATATCTATCTATCTATCTATCTATCTATCTATCTATCTATCTATCTATCTATCTATCATCTATCTATCTATCTATCATCTATCTATCTATCATCTATCTATCTATCTATCTATCTATCTATCTATCTATCTATCTATCTATCTGGCTGGCCTCAAACTCCAGGTTCTCCTGCCTCAGCTTCCTGAATGCTAAAGAGCCATTGCCATGTTAGAGAGGAGCACACAGGCCATTCTGTGCTTCAGTTCAGGCCAGAAGAGCCGGCTTCAAGAACTGTGGGCCTCCTCCCCCATCAATGAGTCAAGAGCAAGCCTGCCAAAGATAGGATGTGGGCAGCTTATTCTGGTGACCCAGGGCAGGGCCAGCGGGGCTGTTCTCATCCTCCTCTGCATCCAGGCCCCAGAGATGCGGACACCCAAGAGGCTGAGGGGGTGGAGGCTGCTGGCATGAGCCAGGGATGGGGAACGGCTGAGGCCAGAGAACTGGTCCAGACGGAGAAGCGAACGGAGGCCGCAATGGCTGGAGCGCAGAGTGGTCCCTGACTCTGGCTTCCAGTCAGCAGGGCTCTAAATGAAACGTGCCATCCTGGAGGAGGCAGGTAGACTTTTGAGCAACCAAGAAAACAAGTTGAGTCAGTGGCAGACAGTCTCCATCACAATCCAGGGTTGTTTGGCTTTATTTAAAAAGGAGACAATCAATGTCTTTCTTTAGCACTCACATGGAGTGTCCCCTGGCAATCGGACGTCATTTACACAGCAGCTTTGAAAGTCACACCCAAAAGACACACAGCACACACATCACACTTTGGGAAGCACGATCAATGGCTCGCCCACATAGAATACATTTCTCGTGTGAAAGTCTCCTTTGAGAAAAATATCAATCCCCAGGTCAGAGAGGAATGGGTGGCTGTGTCCTGGGAGGAGGGGCTTTGTCTCCAAATGGTGACCCAGATTCCTCAGGAAGGTGTGGCTCTGGCTGGGACACTGCTGGGCCTCCTCCACTGCTGAGAGAAGTAAAGGATCTGTCCTGTCGCCCACGGGTGGGGGCGAGCCACTGGGAACCTGGCCTGTCACCAGCGCCCCGCGGTCCCCCCACACAGACCCGTACACAGATAGCTGCAGGCCTACGCTGCTTCCAGAGTGCTGACAAGAGCTGCTCCCTCCCGTTTCTTCTCTTTAGGATTTTTAAAGGAACAAAATTTGGAGTAAGAGCTGGGGTTTTTGAAAAACTTTTTCTGGCTCTTGAGAGAACAATGACAAACTGGTGTGGAGAGAGGGTCGTCCCTAGGCTTTCTGTTGACTCTCACAGAGTGCAGGAATCAGGGGGTCCTTCTGCACCAGGGTTAGCCAGGCAAGACAGGGCTCACCTCAACCCCGGTGTCTCAGGCATCACAGGGCCTGATTCTGGGCTAGCTCATGCACCTTCAGACACGGTATAGAAATGTTCCCACACAGGCAAGATGTGTGCGTGCATGCGTGCGCGTGTGCATGTGCGTGTGTGCGTGCGTGCGTGCGTGCGTGCGCGTGTGTGTGTGTGTGTGTGTGTGTGTGTGTGTGTGTGTATGTGTTGATGGGGGACGAGTACACCGTGAGGCGGGGTAGGGGGAGGCGGAGGATTATGTTGAGACCGACCCCACAGGAGGGAGCAGAGGATTCTAGGCAGCAGTCTCACTATGCAGTGAGGTCCAGGCAGGGTAGGAAGTCCCCACCCTGAATCGAGCTCCTCACCCTCTGACATTCTTACTGGGGCACTTCCTTCACCTGAGGGTTTCTGCAGGACTGCATTCTCACAGTCCATCTCTGGCCTTTCTCCCACCCCAGTCTGGTAGATCTGCAGTGCAGAAGGCTGGGCTCCTTGGTGTCACAGAAGACAAGGACCTCCCCAGGCGGCTGGCGCAGATGCTGGTGCGGGAAGCTGTTCCACGGTTGCCACAGCAACCGACCTCTTTTCCCCAGCCAGCCAAGAGGCTCCAGGTGGGAGGCACAGGTTCGCTGCAGGCGCCGCCAGTGTGGGAGGCATGACTGGGCTGCTCGCCAGTCGCCTCAGGTACCAAGGGCTCGGGCAGGTGGGAACACTTGGCCTTAACAATCGTCCTGATTCCAGAAACTTCTCGCACATCCGAGGGCTGTGTGTGAAAGTCCTCACCTGGCCTCTTGCATCCCGCGCTCTCCTGCAGGGTTAGCCGATTTCCAGGTTTCTTGGGTTGGACTCCGCAGCCTACCCTGCTCAGGTCGCCCGCCTGCAGCAGCCACATTCAGAGAACGTGCGGGAGGAGGCCTGCTGTCAGGCCCAGCACGAGCAGGGTCAGCAGGGGGACTCGGTGCGCCGCGGCCACTGGGGGTGGGGGAGGGGTGACAGGAAGTTAAGACTAGAAGCGCCCGGCCTGTGGGCGGCCGGTTTGGTGCTCACACACAGGCAGTGGGCGCTATTTCTGTGTGCTCCCCTAGATCCAGTCTCTCTTCCTCCCCATGACAATCTTTCCTTTCCCTGGTTTCTTTACATATGCATTCCCTTCCAAATTATGCGGCATGCATATTTATGCTGTTACCTCAGATCCACCAAGAACTATCATTTTCAGCATTTATGTTCATGATCCCCATCTATTTGGGTGACAGGCAAGAGCTCCTGACTCAGTTATCTGCAAGCCTCCCTGTTTGGACTTGCCCGGGACACTTTACCTTGATAGCAGATGAAATGGGAACCTCTTTCTCTGCCTCATCGAGACCTGGGATACCCTTCAGCTTTCTCAAACTTTTGATTCCAAACTCCCGGGGTGTCTGGGAGCTTTGAAGGGGGCATCACAAGTGTGGGCATAAGTGGCCTGCTCCCCTACCTGCGCCCGAGCACTGCTGAGAGAGCATCCCCTCCAGGGCGACCACGTAGTCAGGCCCCAGCCATTCCAGGTATGTGGTTTTCTTCCCAACAGGTACTGCCCGCACTGTAGCATCTTTGAAAAGCAGGTCTTGGCTGTGGTATTTGGAGGAGTCAAACATTTGGAACCCATTCTGGTTGTGGTCATCTCCAAACAGGTCCTGAAAACACCAAAGGCAACTGTTATGTGTGACCTTATGGAAAATCACATGGGTCCCTAAGAGCAAGCATTTCAGGGCACTGAATCTTTCTGTTGAAACCACCTATTTTAACCACTGACGAGCCTGGGCCATAAAGGGAGTCTGGGAGAAGATTTGCATAGAGGCACCATCCAAAGACAGCCAGAAATGTCACACCAGTTCTTGAATGCAGAACTGAAGTGTGAGATGTATAGCAAGAAGGATCCAGAAGAGAGAGGGTGCAGATGTGACGTGCTCAACATTTCTCAATCTTTTTGGCAGTGTTTGCTCGTCAATCCTTTCCAATGAGCTGAGGCAATCCCACAGATAGGGGCTTCTGCTCTGTCACCAGGACTAAGAAAACAGTGAAGGAGCTGATGATGTCATCACTAAACCCCATCAGGGTCCCGGGGTGATCCTGAGACCTGCGTCCCTGACAGGGATCCTTGGAGTGAATGTACTTTGGACAGCCCCAGTGAGCTGGAGAAAGATCAGACACAATGCCAAGAGCTGTAAATACAGCCAGGCATGGTGGCCTATGCTTACAATCCTAGGACTCAGGAAGCTGAGGCAGGAGGATTGAGGGTTTGAGGCCAGCTCGGCATACAGATAACAGTGTGAACAAAGGACATCTAGAGAATTTGCTTGACGTGTGTCCGCTGTTAATCATCAAGGGGAAAGCAGAAAGCAGCCACGACCATCAGTCTTAGAGGAGAGGACTTGTAGACCCTCTAGAAGTTAGTCGCTATCAGAAAAACAACCATCCACACAGTATTCTTCCCCACCTCAGAAAACACGAGGACCAGGTAGAGGAGCCATAGGCTCGAGGGAGTTGCTCTTGGAACAGAATATATACAATTCTAAATATAGGGACAGACCAGTGGCTCTGCTAGTCTGTGGTTCTGGTGGGTGAAAGGAGGGAGAATTTTGCCTTGTAAATGGAACTAGGAGACCTAGTCTGGTGTGGGGACCTGAGAGCCACTGGAGAAAGTGACTTTTAGAGGAGGGTGAAGTTTAGGAGGAGGGAGCTGCAGCCATCAAATCAGAGGCAATGAGGTCCTAGAAAGAGACCCTTGGATTCAGCAACATTGGTCACCATGTCCTTGACAAGAGCAGTTCTTAGGACTTCGCAGTGTTTGTCTGGAGTAGTGTTACCCCTGAGAAAGATCAGGAGAGGAACTGATGGCTCTAGGAGGTAGCTTTGGAGGAGTTTTGCTCTCAAAGGGAGGGCACTCCCAGCAGATGTGAGCCTGTGGGTTTGGAGTACCAGCACCACACAACAGTAGCAGCAGTAACCTGGAGGGGTTGTAATTATCAGAGATGTGAGGCCGGGATGACAGTTTGCTGTGTGTAGATGGGGAGACAGCATGCTCGTCTGTTGGTGAGAATGATCCAGTTGAGAAGGAAAATGTATGATTCGGGAGACAAAGATTATTGCTGGGGAGTGTCCCTCAGTTTCTTGTGAGGGTAAGCAGAAATCAGCTGGTGAGGCGGGGGTGGGGGGGTGGGGGGGTGGGTAGCTCACCACTGCCACCCACCCTCCCTGAGGTCACTCTAGTTTGGCTCACCTGGGCCTTGTCCAGAAGTCCATACACAGGGAAGATGTTGGTGTCTGGATGCACCATGACAGCTTGGGGTGGCATCTGTGCCAGGTTGCAGGCTTGGAACTGACTTACTTCAGCCCGTGCCCCATTGGGGCATAGTAGCTCATAGTCTTGCAACCTGAGCTGAGCGGCCCAGGGCTCAGGATTGTGGCCTGAGAGACAGCATGGGGTGGGAAGAAGTGGGAGAGAGATCCATGAGACCCTTTACCAGGGGGGAGGTGGTGATTCCTGGACTGCTTCCCAGACGCTGTGCTCTGCTCTGTCACAGGAGTGACAGCCCAGCTGGGTGAATGATGAGGAGGAGCACTCAATGTGACAGGCGTGGGTCACAGCCTCTGCCTATAACATGGACAGGGTGGGGATTATCACCCTCACTTTTTGACAAAACCAAGGCTGCTATTATTATTATTATTATTATTATTATTATTATTATTATTATTATTTTGGGGGACAGGGTCTTGCAATATAGCCTAAACTGACCTCAAACTATGATCCTTCTGCCTCAGCCTGCACAGTGCCAGGATTACGTGCATGTGCTACAATGCTAAGTCTAGATATCTTCATGACTTCCCCTTCCAAGCAAGAAGTCCTCTGTGGGTTATGCCCTGGAGCCTGGGCATGGGTGACCTTGAGACCTAAGATCTCAGACTGCAGGGTAGTCTGAAACCTCCCATGGGTATAAAACAGTTCCAAGGGACACAGTCTGTGAATAATCTCACTCTGCAAACCTTGGGGAGAGCTGGGAATCTGCATTTCCAACTAGCACTTGTGATGCTGAAGCCAGCGGCTATGCTCAGAGCTTCCCGAGAGGCTGGTACCCTGGGAAGTGGTGTCCTCTTGTTTTCAGGTGCTCACTTAGCATCCGCCCTCCTCCCTTCCAGAAGGAATACCAGGTGGGCTCCACACAGAGATAAGAAAAGCCATGGCCATCAAATCTCTCCAACACACTGCCAGGCTTGGGGGACAAGCCAGAGCTGTCAGCTTATGCAGGGAGTCCAGCTCCCTTCCCTGGAAGGTGGGGCCTGTGGTTCTTGGTGGGAGTCAGGCATGGAAGCAGGGTGTGACAACAGGAAGGGCTCTCTCCAGCTCGATTGGGGCCGAGTCCTGTGACCTCGGTGGCCTCTGGGGACTGAGGGTGGGATCTGAATTTTGAAATACTGATGTTTTTCCTACGTGTCTTATTTGCCTTCTGGGCCATGGCTGAGCCCCTTGGGTTGTGTCTCTGTGAAGACAGTGGAAGGATGAAGATGACTCAGCCTGGTTTTTGGAATGTCAAAGCCCGAGGCACAGCAGGGTAGGCAAAAAGTGAAAGCATTAAGTGCTGTGGGCTCCGACCCCAGCCATTAACACAATGGATGAGTGATGGGAGTTGAGAGGTACTGGCCTCAGGCAGGATCTCAGATGCAGCTTTTGGGGTCCTGGGGCTGAGAGTCTGACTCTTCTGCCCCAGTGAAGCCTGGGAAGGTGACTCCAGGAAACTCAGCTGTTTGTGTGGTGAACTTGGCTGGGCACTGCCTTGGTGCCACTTGAGTGGACTTCCCTACACAGGGCACTGACCTGCTTATGACAGTGACAAGAGGAGAGGTCTTGCAACCCCACCACAGGCTTCATCACCCCATAAATACCTGCAGTGGGTTGAGATGCAGTTACCGCATAGCAGTGGGATATGAACTTGAATTCTGGACCAAAGGAAGGCATCCTAACATCTGTTCTTACACTGGGGTCTCTGGGTGCTGCTCAGCCTCCAAACCCAGCAACACCCTGTGCCCGGACTGTTCTGGACCAGGCACGGCGGGCCCTCCCTCCCTCCCACCGTCGCTGCTCCATCCCAAGCCCCCTCATGTACCATTTGTATTCTCAAAGACAGTTGTGTGCTTGACGAAGGCAACATCCCCTGCATTCTCCGCAAGGCACCTGTCACACAGGAGAGCAGGGCAGACATCAGAAGGACAGTCCTGTCAGGAGCCAGGCCAGAAGACCCTGCCCCACGGCGGCCACCAAGTACCTGAAGGCCCCTCTATATCCGTAGTACCTCTCCTGGCTGCTGCCCACACACTTGTTGTGGCCCTTCTCATCTCCCACGCAGAGCGCGCACAGCGAGGAAGGGTAGTTCCTAGGGTTGTTTACAGGCACACAGCTGCCATTGAAGAACTCACTCACCGCTGGGGCAGAATGGAAAGGATGTGATGAGGACCTCAGCAGAGAGACAGCCAGGGAGGAGAAGGCAGCCCTTCCCCCATCCCACTGGACTCTGCCTGAACTTCCTCAGGGATGGGAGGTCACTATCTCACTATCTTTCATTTTTAATTTATTTTTTTCAAGATTTGTTTGTTATGGGTACAGCGTTCTGTCTATAGGTGAGCCACTATGTGGGTGTTGGGAACTGAACCCAGGACCTCTGGAAGAATAGTCAGTGCTTCTAACCCTCTGAGCCATCTCTCCAGCCCCCTCATAATCTATTCTCCCTTCTAGAGCAACTGCCTTCTGTCAGGAGAGGGAACTGTCAATCCTAGTGCCCCCTGTGCTTTGAAGTAAGAAAACGTTATTTCTCTGGGTTACCACCAGGAGAGACGTGTGTCCAGTCACTCAAGCAGCTCACTGGCTCTGGACGTGAGAATATGGGGAGAGCCTTGCACAAGACACATGGTGGGCAGTTAGCAAGGGTTTCTTGTTCTGTCTCCATCTTAGCTTTTAGATATTTAGGCACAGAAGTGCATGCCCTGCCACTTTCTAACAAGGTCCCCAAACGCTAGGAGCTGCTAGGAGTGGGGACAACCCAAGCCCATTCTCATTTCCATACCCCTGTGTTAGTCAGTGTAAATTCTACTCGAGATTGAGTGTGTGGAACACCTAGACACACCATGAAGCTGTGTGTGTGTGGGGGGGGCATCGCATCTCCCAGGACCAAGTCAAGAACAAGACCAGGTTCCCGACCCTCAGAGCTGACCATCTCCCCATCAGATCCCACAGAGCTTTGGGATCTGTGTCCCTTGGAGGGAGGTACCTGTGAGGACATCACAGTCCTTGGGCCGGATGAAGCCCCGCTGGATGAGGGAGCCTATGGGCACATCCCAGCCTGCGGGGCTGCCCAAGCCTGGGTGGCAGGAGCGCTTGCTTCGTAGCTCATCCAAGGTGAAGGAGTAGGAGCGGTCCCGTCGTACCACAGCCACCACAAAGTAGGAATTGCTTCTGTCCTCCTCTGCAGGGAGATGACATCTTGAAGAGGTCCCTTATCAGAGCTGTGATCCATGCCTCAACTGTCCCCTCCTGTTTCTCTGTCTCATCTTGGTGGCCCTTAGGGAACAGCTGGTGTCTTCACTCTTCCCCTGGCTGAAGCATCCCAGGGACCCTGCCATGGTCTGCCTCATACCCAGGGGCATTTTCCTCACTTTTTGGGAGAAAAGCAGGCTCAGCTGAGGCCTGCAGACACTTTCACTAAACCTAGAGATTTCTCACAGCCAAGTGGAAGGGACCAAATGTCCCAAGGTCAGTTCTTTTTTTTTTTTTTTTTTTTTTTGGTTTTACGAGACAGGGTTTCTCTGTATTGTTTTGGAGGCTATCGGTCCAGCCCTGCCTCAAACTCACAGAGATCCGCCTGCCTCTGCCTCCCGAGTGCTGGGATTAAAGGCATGCGCCACCACTGCCCGGCCCCAAGGTCAGTTCTTAAGAGGACAAAGGACAAAGTCAAGCCCAAACCACTGAGAAGGTTATGACTAAATAGGCAGAGGGCTCCATGTAATGTCAGGGAGAGGCCAAGGACACACCTCTGCAAACTTTGATCTATACAGATGGACTGGGTTGGCTGCTAAGAATGGCTTTTATAGTTGTTAATGGGGAATTTGAAAATCAGAAGACTACAACAGACACTGGCTGGGCTCTTGACCCTGCCAGGAAAGTTCTCAGACAGCTTAGAGGAGTGCATTGGTAACTGAGGCCTGGGGTAGGAGGGGCTTGCTCCACGTTAGAAGGCTGGTAGAAGGTCCAGAGATGAGGCACGAGAGGAAGCTGGAGGTTCTCAAAATGGTTTAGGGAAAAGGTCTAGAGTTATAAAAGAATGAGTGACCAGGCAGGGGAGAATCACTCACCGGCATACAGCTCCCCAGCCGCCGGGACCAGGCCGTACACCTTCCCTGCTGTGTAAATGTCCTCGCCTTTCAGGGTCACAGCATCAATATGCCCAGCCTGCAGGAACAGAGAGCCCTACTGTGATTCCGGAGGGCAGGAATCCCTGGGAATAGCAGGGCTTCTCCCCTCTTGGGGAGCTCTGACTCTCTTCCTTTGGGAGTCACCCTGGTTGGGAGAATCCCCTCCTGTTCCTGCCCCATCCCTCCCTGCACTCGTGAAGATGCCAGGCCCAGAGGTTGCCGGGTGGCTGAAGGGAAAGAGCAGCCAACACAGGCAGGGGCACCCCAGCTCCTGGCAACAGCAGTTTTTCAGAACATGGCTGCCGAGATTCTCTCGCTTCCCTGCTTTGCCTCCACTAGGCACGCTTGCCCTACGGCTTGGTCCCCAGGGACTTCAATCTCCCAGAGGCACAGGGTCTCTTAGCACTCTGCACTGGGTGGCACACCGCATGGATAAATGCACCCGCCATGGTGAACGGCCATGAGGTTAGAAGACGGTGAACCTAGGCCTCAGGAGGATTTCCCTTGCAGGTTAGGGGCATCCGAGAGGTTAGAAGACGGTGAACCTAGGCCTCAGGAGGATTTCCCCTGCAGGTTAGGGGCATCCGAGAAGGCAGCAGGCAGCTCTTCTCTCCAGCCACCGACTCCCCTCCCCACCTGCCCATTCTGAAGCCTTCTGACCCTAGCCTAGGTTGTAGCTAGGATCCTAAAAGGTGTTGTGTGGCAATAAAGCCACAGGAATATGATAAACTCCAAGAGAAGCGCCAGGCTGGAGAAAGGGGTCCGGCACCCTATGCGGGTGCCATACACTATGTAGACCTCGGGCGTGAGGAGGTTAACCGTGGGGCAGCAGACATTTGCCCTCCTGGGTGTAACTCTAAGGGACTTCTCTCCACTCAGAGTTCCTCACACCAAGCAAGACACAGCCTGAACCCGTAGCCCAGGGCCCAGTCACTGTGGAATTCAGGAAAGGGAAGTGAACGCCACACTGGACACCATCTCCAGAGCCTGGGAAGCAGGAGCTGAGGCTCACTGGTGCTCTTGCTGGGCTTCTGAGGAGGCCCAGCCTCTGCTCATCTCTCCACAGGCCTGGGTGCCCCTTCTCTGCCATGCTCCTCTGAAGACTGAGGGAAGGAGTCTCCAGCCGAGAGGCAGCTGACCCTGCCCTTCCCATCTCTTTGTGGCATTTGGAAAGAGCTACCTGGACAAAGGCCAGTCTGCCAGGCACCAGGAAATAGAAACCCTCTCCTCCCAGCCTCCCTCTGCTTTAAAGTCCAACCCAGGAAGCCAGGAGGGCAGACTAGATGGGCCCTGGGTTTTCACTGTGGATCAGTGGGTACCAATACAATGCATGGATCATAGAAAGTGCTTAGGGAAGAAACTAAAGCCAAACAATGAAAAGAAATGCTGCTGGGGGGGTGGTGCATGCCTTTAAGCCCAGCACTTGGGAGGCAGAGGCAGGCAGATCATTGTGAGTTCAAGGCCAGCCTGGTCTACAGAGCAAGTTCCAGGACAGCCAGAGCTGTTACACAGACAAACCCTGTCTTAAAACAAAACAAAAACAAAAACAAAACAAAACAAAAAAAGAAAGGCCAAGAATTCTTTCTACTCCCTTATATGCAGGATGCATAGTTTTCATACATTCCTATTAGAAATCTTTTGTGCACTAATTCCCAGACACAATGAAATCCATTTCTGAGTGTGGGCCACCTCAGAAACATCTAGCAAAGGACAATGTCCCACTCTCACCATGTACAGGATGTAAGGACTCAGGCATTACGCTGGCCTGCTCCTGTCACCTGGCAGAACGCACTCAGGCAGCACCCTGGTCAGTCCATGTGCAAAGGACCCTTTAAAAGACAGACCTCCGCCCATGCACGCTCTTTCCGCTCTCTCTGCTCTGTTTCCCTCTCTCTGCTGCTGTTCCCCTGGGACAGACAGGACTTTTCCTGCCTCCCTCTTCTCTTCTTTCCTCCTCCCTCCCCTTTCTAATAAACTCACGCTCCACTCGGTCACCCTCACCTGCATGGAATCCTCCAGGGTTCCCCGCGAGCTTTTCCTAGCAGGGGAAACCGAGGTTCGGAAGGGAGAGACTTTCTTAGCCCAAAGGTCTGTTCACAACCAACTGCGCTCTGGCCTCCTCCCTCTGACCTTGTCGCAGGATCTCTGTGCCCCTGCCCCCTTGGGCCACTGTGCATCGGGGTGGGAGATAAGGACCGTGCCCTGTGCTATAGCTGCCTCCTCCCTGGCCACTGCACCTGGATCTGTTCCATGCAGTGCTCTGCGGACTCAGCCGACACACACTGGATCTCTGGCTGGAGTCTCTGCCGGCTGAAGGCCACAGCCATATCTCCGCACTTCTGGATCTCGGGTATGGACAGCACGCACCAGCGCAGGTAGCGGGGCAGTCCTGTGTAGGATACACATGGGGGTTGAGACATTCAGCAGGAGGCCTTTCAAGTCAGAGCTCAGGGAATTTCTGGGTCTCTCTTACTAGCCATGTGGCCAGGATGTGATTTAACCACTTCCTGGTAGGGAAAGCTGTGAGATGCTTGAGGCAGACTGGCTGCAGCGTATTGAACTCAGTCTGGCTTGCTATTGCCTTGGCTGCAGGTGGGAGATCTATAGGGATGGGGGCTGTGGGAAGGGAGCCCACTTAGAGACTACTGCAGTAATCCGGGCAAGAGATAACACCTGAGTCCTGAGGGTGACGAGAGAGGAGCAGGATGAGAGTTGACAGAACTCAATAGTTCTGAAACGAGGACTCACGGTTGGGGTCACAGAGCAGACCCTTCATGGCTTGCAGGTATTCCTGGCCCAGCCACGCTTCATAGCTCTGCGTGGTGATGGGCACGAGCTCCAACGTGGAATCTTTGAATAGCAAGTTCTTCTGGCCGTAGGCCTCGGAACTGAACATCTGGAAGCTGCTGGCCTCGTGGCTGAACAGAATCTGCGTGTCAACGAGAGAAGCGGTGGTGGGGGGATTGCCGGCTACACCCCTTCTGCCCAAGTTCAGTCACCTGAAGCTCCTCCCCGCAACCTCAGGCCAGGTGTCCACTCTGCCAGTTCCCTGCGTGCCCCCATCCAACCCCACCATTTGGACACGGGGCTCGTGGCCCAGATCTAGACGGCTATGAGCACAAGACTGGGCGGTGACCGACATAGCAGGGTCTCCAACGCTGTTCACCGGGTGAGCAATGGCACACTTGCCATCTTCTTTTCCCATAGCTGTGGCTTTGATCTTCAGATGCAAGTGTAGGCAGGGCTTCCACTGAGGGGTGCCATGATCCGGCTGTCCTCCAGCCCTGCCAGCTTGCGGAGTGCTCCCCGTTTTATACGGAACTAACTGCTGGCCCCATTAGGCCTGTCTCAGGAGAATCCTTGCAGACCTTAGCCCAGAGCTCCCTCCGCCCCCACCCTAAGGGCCCGGTGCTGCCTGGGAGCTTTCAGGGCACAGCATTGCTCCTCACCTGGCCTTCATTGAGCAGCTGGAATATGAGGTCCCCAGGCATGTCATCCCTGACGACCACGGCATGCGCAGGCACCCTGGCCAGGTGGCACCGTCTCCACTCAGTAACGTCGGCCCTGCTGCCATCCCTGCACAGTAGCTGGAAGTCCTGTGACATCAGCGCCTTGCCCCAGGATGGCAGGGTTTTCCCTGGAAGGTGGGAACTGGGGAGTCAGCTCCTGTGCTCACAGAGGGTGGGGGCAGTGCGGTATGGGAGGGGGCCTGGAGGAGGCTGGGCGTCTTGCTGGTGGGAATCTTCAGCCACACACATGGCCTTGGATGTATACTGTCTACCTGTCACAACTTCTGTTAGATAACGACAAGAGGAGTAAGAACCTAGAGCTGCTTAGGGTGACAGAGCTAACTGTGGCAAGTAGGCAGGGGTGGGGACGGGACAGGGGCAGAAGACACAGTGAGTCACCTGACAGACTCTCCTCAGAGCTGTGGCCTCGAGGGATAAGGGTAATCCTCCAAGCTTTTCCCAATGGGCCAAATGTTACTCTTTTGGTTGCTTTTTCCCTTATGGTCTTTTTCTAATTTACCTTCTATTTCTCTTTTCTGAGTCCTTGAACATAACTAAGCACACAGTTAATTTTGCATACTATTTTTCCCTTATGGTCTTTTTCTAATTTACCTTCTATTTCTCTTTTCTGAGTCCTTGAACATAACTAAGTACACAGTTAATTTTGCATACTATTTTTCCCTTATGGTCTTTTTCTAATTTACCTTCTATTTCTCTTTTCTAAGTCCTTGAACATAACTAAGCACACAGTTAATTTTGCATACTATTTTTCAGATATCTATATTTCCACATTATTTTCATAAAGTCCATGTTTCTTTTGCAGATTTTTAAAATAGTTTTGTTTACATCTTTTGTGTCCATGTGAGTGTGTCTAGTAGCCCGTGGAGGCCTAAAGAGGGCATCAGATCTCCTGGAGTTAGTGCTTGTGAGCAGACAGATGTCCATGCTGGGACCTGAACTCAGGTCCTCTGGAAGAGCAGCCAGCACTCAACTGCTCAGCCATCTGTTTCCAGTTTCATACATTTCTTAGCAGAAAAACAGTATTTATCTGAGATTGGCAACAATACCAAATAGGAGTATTATAAAAAGTCATATTAAGGACTAGAACCAAACTACAGTGGGTTCTATCTAGTGATCCTCCTATGATCACTAAACCAGTGGTTCTCAACCTTCCGAACACTGTGACCCTTTAGTACAGATCCTCATGTTATGGTGACTCCCCTCAGCCATAAAATTACTTTCATTTCCACTTCATAGCTGTAACTTTGTTACTGTTATCAATCGTAATGTAAATATCTGATATATTCGATGGTCTTGAGTGACCCCTGTGACAGGACCATTCCACCCCTGAAGGGGTTGCAACCCAGGAGAACCGCTGCTCTAAGTTCAAACAAGGGGACTCTACTAGGAAATGGGAAGGCAAAGGCAACCTGTGTGGTCATTAAAACTCACACAGCTAGCAAAAGGCAACGCCGCAGGCACACCCAGCAAGGCCATTTCCACTCACCACACAGGCACTTAGAGCAACCGCAGTACCACACGGGCCACATCTCTCCCCATTGCTCTCCACTTCAAGCTGAACGCCTTTCAGCATCATTTGTCTAAGAGCCAAGCACACATTTAGGCCTCCAGTCACCATCCTTACCTCTCAGCTTTTAGGGATGAAGTCCCATTGCTTCATTGCTCTAGACAATGTTGATTCAGCTGTTTTTGCTCTTAACATTCTACAGAAAGATCTTTCTTTCTTTCTGGTGTGTGTGTGTGTGTGCGTGTGTAGAAAGGATCTCCCTATATATCCCTGACTGTCCTGAAATTTGTTATTTAGACCAGGCTGGCCTTGAACTCACAGAGATCCAACCTGTTTCTCCTTTGCTAGTGCTGGGATTAAAGATGTGGACCACTATACCTGGCTCATGAAGATGTTTCTTAACTACTTATTTAGAAACTGCTAGGTTACTGCTCAAACTTAAAAGACAAACAAAACAGCAACAACCACACACACAAACAAAACAACAGTCTGGGGCTGGAGAGGTGGCTCAGCAGTTGAGAGCACTGGCTGCTTTTCCAGAGGACCTAGATTTGATTCCCAGCACCCACATAGGAGCTCACAACTGTAATTCCAGCTCTAGGGGATCTGATGACCTCTTATGGCTTCCTTGGGCACCTAGCATGCAAATAACACATGGACACACATTCAGACCAACACCCATGCATATATAAAACTAAAAAAATTAAATGCTGATTCAAACTTAACACATCCCTATTTTTTTTTTAACTGTCCTTTCAAATTCTCCTTTGCCTAACCCATCCTGGGGACTATATCAAGGATTGTTCATTTTGTAGTATTGTCTTGTCTGGAAGACAGTTCTTGATGCCTTGTCCTTTACGAGATGGCTTGCTGTCCATCATTAAATCTGGTTTATGTCTGCCTTCATGAAGTTTAGAGTACATGATGGATTGATTCACTGACTTAAGGCACAACAGTTAGCATGAAATGACAAGTATTAAAGCCACTCCCAGAAGCTGTAGGTTATTAAATGAAAATCCCAGTGCCAAGGTGGGGCTGCCTCCCTATGAGTTGCTTACTGGGGAGCCCCCATGAGGTGCCCCAAACAATACAGGTTATTGACAGTGCTGTCGGTTGCCCACCAGGAGTAGATGGTAAGACCCTGTTGATGAAGCCAAACGCTTTGGTTGCAGGACATAGAAAAATCAAACTAGCAGTGAGCTGGAAACTTCCTTCCTGCTGGATAGCTTTCATAGTGCCACACAGATACCATGTAGGTCGTTAGGTAGGAGCCGTCATGAACATTGTTAACCACCCATAGCTCCTTACTGACTTGCCAGGAAGATGTGCCTATGAGGGCAATTGTGGTATGACTGCTGGGGGTAACCAACCACTTCCTGCTTGGATTTGAGGCCTGCTCCACAGGAGGAATTCATGTCTCAGTTGTGAACCCAGTCACAAGCCTGTGATCTGGAGGTCAGAGGTCCTGGTGGAGAATGTTCCACTGTTTCGCTAAATGGACATAATATTCCTGCTGAGCTTCTGAAGAGTGCCGCCGCCAGCGTGGCCAGGGAAGCCTCTTGTGCTGTGGGCAGCAGCACTTATAACTGGTCCAAGAGCTGAGAATAAACAACTGCTGAGTGTTCAGTCATAAATGGGAAGGAATCCAAGAGGAAGGGGTGGGTGCTGTGGCGTGCGGCCTTGCTGCCGTTGGTATGGCCGTCGTCCTTTTAAACTCAAAGCAACAGTGACTGTGTGCACAAGACCTTTACCAGATTGGACCCATCAACATTTTGTCATGGAGTGGGAGGGGTTCTCAGCCCCAGTCCCCCTGGCTCTATAAGCAGTTATGATTACTGAGGGAGGAGGAAAGAATCTTTTTTCCAGTGGTGTGGCCACTGTAAAGTTGTCTATGCCCCTGTAGTAACTCCTCATCTATGTCCCTATAAGCAATCCTAGTTAAAACTCACTGCTTAAAAAACTACCAGGAGGTAGTGAATTAATGACAATACAGTTCATGTGACAGGGCTGAAGGATGTGTCATGCATGTCCCATATCGGGGAGGAGCTCACTTACTGCAGGATATCCATTAGACTCTCTGTGTAACTGTCAAGTCACTTTAAAAGGAATGCTGAATGACAGAATACCCATGTACAATGTTGATTGAAAACAATAAGGGAAAATACAAAGTTTGTCTGTCTATCTCTCTCATGTTTATGGGTTTTGCATGCATTTATGTCTGTGTGCCATGTGTGTACCTGGTGTCTTTGGTGGCTAGGAAAGGGCATCAGATCCCTTGGAACTGGAGTTATAGATGGATGTAAGCCAATATGTGGGTGGCTGGGAGGTGCACCCTAGTCCTTTGGAAGAGCAGTGATTTCTACAGCCCCTGGCTGTATATCCTTTATTTTTTGAGACATGGTCTCATTATGTAGCCTTGTTCGGCCTGGAATTTGCCACGTAGACAAGGCTGCTTTTGAGTTATTGAGTGCTGGGATTAAAGGCATGCATCACCATGCCTGGTTTGACATTTTTTAATGCTCAAGTGCTGGATAGTTACTGACTGTTGAACAATGTTTACATAATTAAACATGGCATGTGTCTTAATTTTTCTGTTTTGCTTTGTTTTTTGAGACAGGATTTCTCTGTGTAGCTGTCCTGGAACTCACTCAGAGAGATCCACCTGCTTCTGCCTCTCGAGTGCTGGGATTAAAGGTGTGTGCCACCACTGGTACTTGTTTTGATTTTTAAAAGGAGTCGATTATTTAAAACGGGAAGAGAAGGAGGAGGGGAGAGAAACCGATGGCAGCTGGACATGCACACATGCCCACAATCCCAGCACCTGGGAGACTAACACTGGGGGATTTGTAGCCTAGGCCACACTTATATTTATCTTACTTTTGCCTGGCTCACCTCGGAATCTACACTCAGGAGAGTTCTTTTACACTTTATAAGACCTTGTAAACAACCCTCGAAACCTCCAAATAACAATAACAAAAACAAGAAACACAACCCCAAACATAAGGCTCACACACCCTGGGCCAGGCGAAGGTCAGGAGTGACCATGGGTGGGGGGATGGGTGGGGATGGGGGTGGGGAAGGGATGGGGTGGGGGAGAGTGGGGGCACAGCAAGGGTTTGCTTCCGTCTGCACTTTGATTGTGGTACTTCAACCAACACATCCAGGCAACGCATCTTCAGTAAGACCGTCCTGGAACAGGCCAGTCTCCTCCAGGTCACAGGGGACACCAGGAAGGGACAGGGCAGCCCGCAGTGTCTGGTACAGGGCTGTATACTTAAGTGGTCATGGACAGAACCCATTTCCACACTTAGAGCAGAGCCTTGCCTGCCCCCACCCCTGCTACACCAAGGAATGCCGCTGGTAAGACCCGCACGCAAAGACCCGCACGCCGCGTAACCCGCACGCCGCGGTAAGACCCGCATATCTGTAGATAGGGAGCTAAGGGACGTAGACCCTGTGCTTTGTCCAGAGTCCCCCGGAGAGACTCGGAGCAGCACTGAACCAGAGTGCTTGGTCATCTGGGGCCAGCTTGGGCAGCTGAGCCTGACCCCCACTCACCGTCTGTGTTCTCCAGCACGGTGCTGTGCTTCACAAAGGCCACGTCGCCCGCTCCTTCCGCCAGGCACCTGTGTAGGAAAAGCCATGAGCCTGGGGGGGGGGCGGGCATGACCCCTGCTCAGCCACTCAATGCCACCCATCGTCTACCCTGGAAGTTTGACCAGTGCTGCAGGGGTTGACCCTAGGAGGCCTGTATTTACAGATCCGCAGCTGAGATTGTTGCCTGTGTGGCTTTGCCAAATTGTTTACCCTTCCTAGCTCCATCATAAGGACTCTGAGCTTGAATGGTCTCTTTCTCTCTCTCTTTTCAAGACACAGTTTCTCTGTGTAACCCTGGCTGGCCTCGAACCCATATAGAGTACTGACTGCCTTTGCATCCTGTGTGCTGGGATCAAAGGCGTGCACCAGGCCTGGCTATTAGTGGTTTCTTACAGTGAGTCAGGGTCCTGCAGTGTCTTCCTTGGCCTGCCATCTGAAGCTCAGACACCCAACGAATTCTGAAGATGACCTCCTCTGACCCAGGGGACTGGACTAGGAGGCCTTTCATGTCACATCCAAATGTGGAAAGTGGAAAGGATTCGGCTTCCATCTATTCTCCCAATATGGGCGGCAGGTTGGGATTACTGGGCAAAGGGGCCCTTGGGTCCTCACAGCCAGATAATAAGTAGGTTGGACCGAGGGCAGGGGAGGCACCAGGACACTGAGGCCTCTGAGGGCATGAGGTAGAAGGGGCAGATAGCCAGGGACATGGGGAGGCAGTAAGGACTGTGTCCTCCCTCTGGTAAAAATTGCTCCCTCTGGCCACCATTGAGGCCCCCACCTTAGGTAGGGACACTGAGGACTGATTGCTGCATGGGCTGGGAATTCTCATGCAAGACATGGGGTTAGACATGAGCCCTTAGACTCTCTTGGGTCATGGAAGGCTAAAGTGCCGGTCAGGACCAGCATAGGGCAAGACCCTCCCTGACGGTCAGACATCAGAATGGGGCCAGGGAACAGCCTGAGATGGCTTTTTCCATCCTCTTTGGTCAGTACTCCCTTTTCTAAATACACCAAACATGTTGACTTTGTGAGCAAATCCACCCTGGCACCTTCCGGTTTCGTGTTTGTAAACTAGCCAGGAACAGCTCTGCACAAAGGGCTCCTTGATGCCCCGTAGCCGACACGGTCATTCTCCACATCACACGGTCATTCTCCACACACTGCTCAGCTCTCTTGCTGCCCAGGTCTCACCTGAAGGCCCCACTGTAGTCATAGTATCTCTCTAGGGGGCTCTTGTCACACACGTTGTGCCCAGTGGCGTCACCACGGCAGAGGCGACACAGGGATTCAGAGTAACTGGTTTCTCCTGTCCCAGGGACACAGCTGCCCCCGAAATAGTCACCAACAGCTTCGGGAAGGAGCAAAGAGAGGTCACTGACCCCACCCTGGGAAGTCACACCAGTATCCCACACTGGGCCCTCGGACCTGGGTGGGGCCCTTGCTGTGGCTGGGAAATAAGATGTTTACTGTAAGTGTCTTCACAGGACAACTGAATGCAAACTGGATCCTGTGCTTGCTGGAGTTTTCAAATCAGTGACCAGCAATCTCACCAAAAGAGGGGAAAGTATTGAGGAGATCTGGGTTGTCAAGGGTCTGACCCACTCACTGGTCTGCATATTTTTGTGGATTTTTTTGTCTTTTCTTCATCAGTAGTAAGGCCTCCAGAAGCACCCCCTCACAAATATTTGCCCACATGACTGGGTGGACCGCCCACCCTCAGCCACCCTGAGAGGCTCCGGCTAGGTTCTCCTAGGTTGTCAGTTACACCATGGCTGGGTCCACAAGTCACTTGGGGCCTTGTAGGTGAAGTCAACAGCTTGTTTGGATCCTGAAAAACATAGTTTCTGATCCTGTAGGGCACGGGACACATGTGCAGACTGAGGCCACCCTCATCAGGTTGATGTCTTCCCACAGCTGTGGTTGGGTCCCCCGCCTGGCTGTGTTACGTGGTGCATGGGAATGGGCAGTGCGCTCTGCAGGAGCCGACCAGCCAGAAACTCAAACGGAGGCCACCAGGTGACTGGTGACTGCTGTGGCTGCGGTCTGGGAAGGCTCTCCTGGGGCGTGGCGCTTTGCAGCTTCTGGGGGGTATGGGGTGAGAGTGATCCTTGACACTTGAGCAGACTAAGTCGAGAAAGGAGGGGCTGACTGGGAGGCCGAGGCAGCAAGCTGGGCCAGCCAGAAGTCCTTACCCTTGAGCACATCACAGCCCATCACTGAGAGATGGCCACTCTCCACTAGGTAGCCAATGGGCACGTTCCAGCCCACAGTCCGGTTGATGCCTGTGTGGCAGGACTTGACGCCCTTCAGGGTGTTGATGGTCAGGTTGGAATTCCTCCTGACCACAGCCACAGCATAATAGGAGGTCCCAGCGTCTAGGAAGGGAGGACAGTGGTGACTCCGGGAAGGGCTGTGAGAGGCCGTGTTCAGTGCACAAGCTGCTTCTAAGGGGCACTGAAGTGTGTGTATGCGTGGGCACCTTGGTCATCAGGAGCCTGCACATTGCATTCCACCTGACGCTGCCCCAGGCACTGCCCTTCAGCAAGGGCCCAGTGCACAAAAGTTGGGGTATGCTGTCGGGTCACTTTTGTGCCCCTGGGTCTCCCACCTGAAGGTTTCAAGAGAGAACTAGGAAATTCTCAGAAGGGCTTTCTGCCTGGGCCCCCTGTGGACAGAGCTGGTGACCAGCTTGGGGACTTCAGGGTCACATGGCCCGATTGGCTGGTGTGTGGGATCTTTGCTTTTCCCGCCCAGTGTCCCTTACCTTGGTCATATGCTTCACCGACCACTGGCTTCAGACCATATTCCTTCCCTGCCTCATAAATGGCTCCTCCATCCAAAGTGATGGCATCAGCTTTCTGGTCCTGATGGAAGAGTGAGGGTCAGTCAGGGCAGCTGTGGGCCCACTCAGCCAAAACTCAGTGACACCCACAGGCAGTCCAGAGCCCCTCAAGAAGTATGGGAGGTCTCCGATGCCTTCACCTGACCCCGAGTCTTATCTTGTCCCTGTCCTAAGGGCCCAGGACTTCTCCTTTTAGCAGGCTCAGAACTCAACTTGGCTTTACCACATTTTCTCTTCACAAATAATAGTCACTAATTTTCCAGGGTCATGACAGACACGCATAGAGGAAAACCAGGAGACACAAGATGGAGCCACAAAGCATCTCTTCACTGTGAGGCTCCCTACCAGGCTCTCCCTCCAAGAGAGGTCACACAGGACCAAGGCTAAGAGGAACTGTCACTCATTGCTGCTGGCTTCTGCCACCCCACTGCTTGATTAGTTCTCAGAGGCCTCTTGGGGGCCAGACTGCAATGGAGACCCAGTGCCTGTCCTATGGCGACTACTTTCCTCATCCTATCCTGCCTCTGAGAATGGTCCATGGCAGTTTAATGGGTCTCCCATCACCAAGACCTGCCTTCCCATCTCACACAGTTACTCAGGACCCTAGAATGGGGGCTTCCTCTCTAGGAACCTCATTCTGGAAAGCTCCACGGTGACCACCACCATGGGCCGTGGAGTCACTGTGTTGGCTAGGTTTTCTTTCCCCTTGAACTTGACACAAGCTACAGCTACCTGAGAAGAGAAAACCTCAGTTGAGAAAATGCCTTCATCAGACTGGCATAGGGAGCATTTCCTTCTTCCTCTTCCTCCCTCCCTCCCTCCCTCCCTCCCTCCCTCCCTCCCTCCCTCCCTCCCCTCTCTCTCTTTCTTTCTTTCAAGATGGGGTTTCACTGTGTTGTATAGCCCTGGCTGTCCTAGATCTTACTTTGTAAGCCAAGTTGACCCTGAACTCACAAGAAGCTTGGAAGGAAAAGAGTTTATTTCTTATAGTCCATCAAGAAGGGAAGTCAGGCAGGAGCTCAGGGCAGGACCTGGAGGCAGGAGCTGATGCAGAGGCCATGGAGGTGTGGTGCTCACTGCCTTGCTCTCCATGGCTTGCTCAGGGAGGCCGCTGCCCACACTGCTGGGCCCTTCCATCTCAATTTATCATCAATCAAGAAAATGCTCCAACTGGGCATGGTGGTGCACAACTTTAATCCCAGCACTCACGAGGCAGAGGCTGGTGGATCTCTGTGAGTTCAAGACCAGCCTGGTCTACAAGATCAAGTTCCAGGACAGCCTTCAAAGCCACAGAGAAACCCTGTCTCAGAAAAACCAAAAAAAAAAAAAAAAAAAAAAGAAAACCAAGCTAGGACAGTCACTATAGCTTGCTCTCTCCTGCAAGAGTGATAGTATCCTTGTCCCAATCACAGAAGGAAAATCCTACAAGAGGATTCTCTCCACTTCCTGCTTTCCCCACTGGTGCCTACAGCCCCTGCCCCTCCCACCTGCAAGGAAAAGGTTAGGCTCTTGCTGCTCGGGAAACTCAGCAGATTGCATCGCCCAGCCTTGGCAGAGGGGACAGTGGCCTCTTTCCCAGTGAATGGGGCTGTTGTGTGCTCCTTCTGAGTCAGGTCCCTCTTGCCTGGGCCAGGGTGGGGGACAGGCTGGAGGGAGAGGCGTCACCTTGATGAGCTGGACACAGTGGTCAGCGGAGGTGCCGTCGACGCACAGGAGGAGAGGCTGGATGCCAGCTCCCTGGAAGGCCTTGCCCATGTCTGCGCATTTCTGCTGCTCCGCGTTTGAGACGGTGCACCAGCGCACCTCCGTCAGACCGAGGCCTGCGGGGCAGGAGAGGTGACATAATTTCATCACCTATCCAGCCACGGAGGCTCCACCAGCCTGCATGTCCCCTGCCACACAGCCTTGCACCCCCATGGAGAGGCGGTGAGACACAGGCAGGACAGAGCTGTGCTTGCAGATCGGTGGCTCGGAACCCAGCCAGCTACCGAGCAGTGGGAAATCCCTGCGATGGGGCTCAGGCTGGGAAGAGCAAGCGCTGGGCCCAAGACTCTGTGGCTGACAAATTCCTGGCCTTTGAAAAGAGCTACTGGCCCGGAGTCCCACCTTGGCTCTGCCCTTCCGCTGACAAACTGAACCTCATGACTGAGCGGGTAGCTGCGGGTGCCCTGCCTTCTGCACTGAGGGCAGAGTCAGGTCCCCGTCACAGGAAGGCGCCACACGCACGATATGCACGGGAGGCCAAGGAGTGGTGGGTGGATTCGGGTTCTGTTCCCTTAAAGGTGACATCAGTAGACTTAGGAGCAGGTGAGAAGCCCACCTTCAGTGTCGGAAGTCAATCACACAGAGCAGGCCACACAGGTCCTCCGTGGGCTTCCTTCTGTGTCCCTTGATCTGATCAGGTCAGAGTCCTAGGTGCGCCCCAGTAGGGGCCCAGAGGGGGCTGATGGCTTTGCAGCCGAGATCCTCTAGAGGCCGGCCTGTGCTTCAGGGAAACATCTGGAACTTGCCTTTGGACCGTTTGTCTGGGGGCCAGGTCCTTTCTGCCAAAGGTCGTCACCTGGACATACCGCTCTCCTCACCCTCTTTACCCCTCCTCTGCTTCAGGGCTGCTGCATCCCCTAAGCTCCCTGCTGCCTTCTGCACCAGACAGGCCACCCCGGGAGTTCTTCCCTGACATCTGGTTGGCATTTTTGAGGCCTCCTCCAAATGGCCCTCAATGCTGCATCCTGGTAGGTGTGAGGGGACAGCAGTCACGTTTAGCACAGCACAGCTAGGCCCAACACCCTTCCTCGGGGATACTCTCACCAGTGCGCAGGAACAGGAACAGCAAAAGAGCCACGCTCGGGAGCCTCATGGCAGCTTTGGGTTGGCAGTTGGACTGGCTGGGGTCCAGGCAGATCCGGCCTGGCTTCCTCCTCCTAGGTCGCACTGGCCTTCTTCCACTATTTAAGTGTGGCCCAGGCAGAGGCCACGCCCCTGACACACCCCTCACTGGATACCTGGGCTGATCAGAGTGCCCTTGGCTTTTGCTCTGGCACCCCCTGCTGGCACCGCCTCCGTCCCTGGCTGGTCCAAGGTTGCTGACTGGATACTGCTACTCCCTGGTCCTCTGTCCTCAACAGTCTGCCTTCCAGACCATCCTCTTCTGTGCTAGAGGAACACAATGTCATATCCTACTGGACAGGGGCAAATTCAGACTTGGAAGGAAAAGAAGAGGGACGGTCAGAGTCTGAGCTGGAGGGACGCTGGTCACCAAATTCACCGCCACCTCCCTTTACACGAAATGCACAAAGGGTCTGGAGAATGAGAATGAACCCCTGTAGTACCTTCACGGCTGGGGAGGAGACCCAGGGTCCAGGCAACCGCTTCCGCTTGGGCATGGAGAGGGGGCAAATTTGCCTCTGGCTACCCCCGTAAGTGGCAGAGCTGACCCTAGACCCGGGTGTCCAGGAGAGCGGCCTCGTCAGGGTTAAGAAAGAAGAGCAGAGAGCAGAAGAGGGAGGGAGAAATAGAGGGAGAAGACGAGAAGGGAGAGGAGCAGGGGAGGAAAGGACAGGAAGAGAGGGAGGGAGGGAGAGAGAGAGAGAGAGAGAGAGAGAGAGAGAGAGAGAGAGAGAGAGAGAGAGAGAGAGAGAGAGAGAGAGTAGAGTGAGGCGAGGGAGGGAATGTGGACCTCAGAACAGCTGCATGAAGCCTCCCCAGCCTGTTGGGGCTCTGACCTCTCAGACCCTCTTCTTACCCACTTGGTCCACAGCTGGGCAGACAGGGCCATCAATGTGTGCGCATGCGCATGCGCATGCGAGTGTGCTTCCTGGTGCACAGTGAAGTCTGAGAGCCACTGTTCAGGGCCAGCCAGTGCCCTGGACCTGTTTTTTTTTTTTTGTTTGTTTGTTTGTTTTGTTTTGTTTTTACGAGACAGGGTTTCTCTGTATTGTTTTGGAGGCTGTCGGTCCAGCCCGGCCTCGAACTCACAGAGATCCGCCTGTCTCTGCCTCCCGAGTGCTGGGATTAAAGGCGTGCGCCACCACCGCCCGGCCCCTGGCCCTGTTTTGTTAAGAGGCATGGACAGCAGGCTGTAGAAGGCCTACCTCCTCTTCCGCTCCCTCCCCCGCAAGAAGAGGGCCCTGGAGAGGAATGGAGGCTCAGCCACAGTGACTGCGTTATCAAAGGGGGCATGTTCCTACTCCAGGTGTCACTTGTGGGCCCTGGGCTGCTGAGTCCATCTGCATGTATGCTGGGAGCACCAGCAATTGTGAACAAAACCCTTTGCTTTATTTTTTTTTCTGATCATGTGGATGTGTAGGTCTTTGTGTCGGTCTGACATGCCAGTGCAGAGGCTCAAGGAGGCCTAAGATCACCTTGGAGCTGGAGTTCCAAGAAAGCTGGGACTCAGCACATGCTCTAACCACTAGGCCATCTCCAGCCCTGTGGGGGCATTCTCACAAGTAGTTTTTGCATGAAACTGAAGCTGGGCTTAGGCGAAGCCTGTTAGGTTACATGAAATTACATGTAATTGCTGTTTTTTCTTTCTCCTTCCTTTCTCCCCTTTGTTTTTGTTCTTTCCTTTTTAAAACAGTCTCGCTGGGCGGTGGTGGCGCACGCCTTTAATCCCAGCACTCGGGAGGCAGAGGCAGGCGGATCTCTGTGAGTTCGAGGCCGGGCTGGACCGACAGCCTCCAAAACAATACAGAGAAACCCTGTTTCGTAAAACAAACAAACAAACCACAGTCTCACTCTGTAAGCCAGTCTGGCCTTGAATTTCCAGTTATCCCCCTGCAGTAAATGGAGGCTTCTTGTTCTGCCTGCCCACCAGTTCCTGAGTAACTACTCTAAGGCTTAATATTAATTATAATTGTCTGGTCAATGGCTCAGGCATATTACTGACTAGCTGTCATAATTAAATTAACACATTTCTATTAGTTTGTATTTTACTGCGAGGCTCACCTCTTGCTTCTCTGGCAGCTACCTGATTCTGCCTTTCTTTCTGCATCTTTGTTTGGATTTCCCGCCTGGCTCTATTCTGTCTGGTCGTTGACCAAATCAGCTTTATTGATCGGCCGATAAAAGCAACACATATTCGCAACATACAGAAGGGCATCCCACATCGCCTGTCTCTGCCTCCTGAATGCTAGGATCACAGGTATGGGCCGCCACACTGGGTTTATCCATAGTGCTCCATCTCTGTCATCACTGCACCTTGAACGTGAAGGGTGAAGGGTTTCTCCGCTTATTTCCCTGTTGCTGTGACAAAATCCTGACTGGGGGCAGTGAGATGGCCTAGCATTTGCTGCCTTGAAGTCTGAATCACCAGACCACATGCTAGGATAGAACCAGCTCCCACAAACGTCCGCTGGCCTTGACACATGCATTGTGGCCTGTGCACTAAAAGCTGATAAACATAAATGGGATAAAACATAAAAAACTCTAGTGAAGCAAGCTAGGAGATAAAGGGTCTATCTGTTTCAGCTCACAGTCCAGGGTCGACATCGATTGTTGGAAGCGATCACAGAGGTGGGAACTTGAGACAGCTGCTCACAGGTATCATCAGTGACACATCAAGCAGCAGGGACGAAGTGGCCTCTCCATCATCTCTCAGTTCAGGACGCTGTCCTCTCCATCATCTCTCACAGTTCAGGACACTGTCTTCTCCATCATCTCACAGTTCAGGACGCTGTCCTCTCCATCATCCCACTTCAGGACGCTGTCCTCTCCATCATCATCTCACAGTTCAGGACGCCGTCCTCTCCATCTCTCAGTTCAGGATGCTGTCCTCTCCATCATCTCTCACAGTTCAGGACGCTGGAGCCAGCCATGGCGAGCAGGTCTTCTGCATCCACTGACTTGTAGACATTCTTAGAGGCTCATCGTTTAGGTGATTCTAGACTATGTCAAGTTGGCAGTTGACCCTATTGCAGAGGGTTGATTTTCCATGTGAGCGATGAAATTTAGTAACTAATATTAATAACTGCTGCTGAGAGGAAACAGATGAGACCAGCCATGGACCTGGACAAGGCTTCTCCCCAGGGCTGTGCTGAAACTGGCATAGTGAAGGCTACAGGCAGACCAGGATTCTAGTGGTGGTCCCCCTCCCCCCAGGTCAGAGACCAGGATTCTAGTGGTGGTTCTCCTACCCGCCCAGGTCAGAGACCAGGATTCTAGTGGTGGTTCTCCTACCCGCCCAGGTCAGAGACCAGGATTCTAGTGGTGGTCCCCCTCCCCCCAGGTCAGAGACCAGGATTCTAGGTCCTCAGTGGTGGTCTCCCCACCCCAGGTCAGAGACCAGGATTCTAAGTCCTCAGTGGTGGTCTCCCCACCCAGGTCAGAAACCAGTTTGTGGAAGTCAGTTCTCCCCTTCCACCACGTGGATCCCAAGGATCAAACTCAGGTTATGAGGTTTGACAACTGCTGGGGACACAGAGAGAACCGGGAATGTTAATCACAAATCATTCAGGGGTGTGTTCTCAAGAGGAGATAAAAATCAAATACCTGCATTCCATCCAGAAATCTGAGAGTGGATTTTGTTAATGACCTGGTGACCTTTTTCTATGGAGTCAGACCTCACCCAAATCCCCCAGGATGATTATCACAGACTCTTCCCTCCCTAGACCATTACCCATCCTTAGGGGAGATGTCACAAGGACAGTGGCCTGCTGACCTCTGTGTTACAGTCAGAGACCACATTAGATTCTAGGTCTGTTAGCTATAGAATCTCCCTCATGGTCACATGGACTTTGTAAAGGAGTCTCCATGTAGTCACAACTTGAGCTTCACTGTGCATCTGGAATTGGACTGACTGGACTGATTGTTGCCTGGAAACCTTTTCCCAAATTGTACTGTGTTTAGAAATGCTGATAATGAACCGCCTGACATTAGACTCCCCGAAGTCTGATCCAGGCTGCAAGTGCCTTTACCCATGGACTCATTTCCTCAGCTGAAGGATGGTGACATGTTTTTATTTTTTTCTGGTTTTTCAAGACAGGTTTCTCTGTGGCTTTGGAGGCTGTCCTGGAACTCGCTCTTGTAGATCAGGCTGGTTTCGAACTCACAGAGATCCGCCTGCCTCTGCCTCCCGAGTGCTGGGATTAAAGGCGAGGGCCACCACCATGGCCCGGGATGGTGACATCTTATCTACCACCGTCCCCAACATGTCTGGGAGCAGATATGGAACATAGCAACACAGTGTAGAACACAATATCAAGAAAAAATTACAGCATCACTTGCTATAAACCAAGGGAAAGGTGGAACATAATCTCTTTCAAGGAGAGCATCTTTGACCACCCAGCTAGAGCGGACTCCAGGGGAGCTCAGTGCCACAGCTGCAGACGGGACTCTCCAGAGAAAGCTACCAGGGAAAAAGGAATGGCTCTGGAGCTCAGATCTGCACGCCACAAATCCATGGCGCTACGGGAGTCAGTGAAAACCCTTAGACGCTGCTCCTAGTGAGATGGGTAGGTTACAGTGGAACATCCCTAAAGGGGACTGTAGGGTCCCTGTCCCCACCCCCTTTCCTTTGGCCATGACGAGCACACGCTCCTGTCTTGCCGCTGAACCCAACTTTGAAGTAACTGGTCCATCTGACTGTGAATCAGAAACTGCAGTTCTGTGAGCCCTGATATGTACGCCTGTCGGTTATCCACCTCAGGTGTCTGTTACTGGCGCGGCCAGTTAACACAGATGGGAAGGGGCTCACCAGGCTCAATTCCACAAAGAAGTCACTGGGGCGGTGATGGCTCAGTGGGTAAAGCACCTGCCATGCAACCCCAATGAGTGAGTATGACCGCTAGGACCCATATAAAGATGGAAGAGAGACACCACAGTGCTGTCCTCTGGTGTCAGTGTGCTGTGGCACGCTCCAACCCGTGCCTACATAGCACACGCATATAGACTAAAAAGAAAATTCCTTCAATCTCGGGCCACTTTAGTTATTGTTGAGTTATAGAAAATTTTACTATAAAT